GGATCGCAACCCTCAGTGTTGCCCCCGTACCGGACCGGGGACCGGCAATGGGATTGCAAGCCTCGGTGTTGCTCCCGCGCCTCGCTCAGCCAGCGAGCGGGAACCGGTCTGTATGTGGGATCCGAACCCTTGGGCGGGAGCGCTGCCGCGCTTCCCAAGCGGTGCACTATCCAGTGCGCCACCAGGCCGGCCCCTAAAAATTGATTTTTACCCAATTTGGAGACTATAACAGAACATAGCTAGTTTACTAATCTTGAATACTTCACAGTTTAAGTATTTAACTGTTTGAGGCTCAAATTGTAAAATAGTGTATTTTATACACACACCAAATTACTCTTTTCTCCAGCTACAATTACTGACCCATGTTTCATTATTACCTGATTTGACTCGTTACATTTTTTTCTTAATTAATATCTGCAAATCATTTTCCTTTAAATATCTTCTACCAGCAATATTTTTTGCCAACAACATGATTGACTGATTTTGACATTTGAGCCATGTGAGTACACTTATACTTGCGTTTTGCCTTCTTATGAATTTGGTAATTTATCATGCTGCCTAGGGCAGGAAAACTAAACAGCAAAACCAAATGAAACCCTGTTCCAGGCTCCAAATCTTCCAGTTGGGAGGACTCTTTCTGCTCTGTTCATTGTTTTCATATTTTTTTGTGACCCTCTAGAAAACATTCATGACAAATAATGACGATTTACAATATTATCTTTAGTCTTTTATATGTCAACTGTATATCATCATAACAGGTTAATTTATTTTCTTCGTAAGCCATTGTCTAAGATATTTTGAAAAATTTTAGCTCAATTGTCTTAAAATAGGCTTGGTGAGTCTATAGTATTCATATGATATTTTAAAAATCGAAATTACGAATATTTATCATAAATTTAAAATGTTTTTTAGTCCATCAACAAGCAACAATATTCCACTAATGAGGGTCGTACAATCCATCAAGCACACAAAGAGGAAGAGCAGTACAATGGTGAAGGAAGGGTGGATGGTCCATTATACCAGCAGGGATAACCTGGTCAGTAATCACATACATTTTAATATATGTGATTTATTAAATTTGTTACAAGCTTTAATTTATGCATTTTTTAAAATCAAGATGAGGATGTGATTTATAAGACATTACATACACAATCGCAATATGTAAAAAGTTGCACTGGAATTATAGATACACTTGTGAAGAACTTTTTAAAGGCAGAATATTTAATGTATTGTCTTTACAAACTTGTAGAGCAGTTGAGATTCAAAAAGGGCCTGGGATTGTGCCACAATAAGGAGTAATGACTCTAAACATAATGAGCTACAAATAAAAATAAAAAGAACTAGAACTTCATCTGAAAAGACACCTTAACTGATTACCAAAGATAGGAAACATTTGTTTTTATGTAGACTTTATTATCTTAATGTAAATATACAAGTTATTTTTTAGATTTAACAAAGAGAAGAAATGGTCAACATAGTGGATGACAGTAGATTTGAAGAATCAGCATTGTGTAGAGGGTAAGAAGATAGACTTTGGAGCTAGATTGCCTGAGTCTCTGTGACTTACTAAAACTGTAAACTTGAGAAAGTTACTTAGTTTCTTTATGCCTTGGTTTCCTCATCTGTAAAATTGACATAATGTTTAACTGCCTCATATATCCAAGCAAGTTAATATATGAGAAGAGCTTGGAACAGCAAATAGCATACAGTAGCATTCAATAAATGTTAGTAGCCACTATTTTATTATTATTTGCAAAATTTGCTGAATAATTACTGAAAGAGACTTTCTAGTAGCCCTTTTATGAATAAAATGAAGTAAGTACTCAGTACATTTAGCTGGCTTAGATAAACTTTTATATGTTGACAACAGTATAGACTGCAGTTAGGTGCTTTTTCTTTTATTTCTAGTCCAAATGGAACTTGAAGTGGTGTGTGTGTGTGTGTGTGTGTGTGTGTGTGTGTGTGTGTGTGGTCCAAATGGAACTTGAAGTGGTGTGTGTGTGTGTGTGTATGTGTGTGTGTGTGTGTGTGTATACATATATATATACACACACATATATACGTATATACTTCCAAATGGAACTTGAAGTGGTGTATAAATATTTGGGAATTTAGTAGTATATCAAAGGTGTTATATCAAATCAGCAAGGGTAAAGGTAATTCAATAAATGATATTGGGACAACCATGTAGCCATTTTGAAAAAAATAAAGTATGTATATCTCACAGTTTACACATAATAAATATTAATGGATCAAATATTTAAATGTAATGAAATTAAACCAGTAGAAGAAAGTTTTGGAGAATTATTTTGTAAACTTTCAATGGGAAAGAAACAATAAAAGATCAATAAATTCGGTCTCATAAAAAAATTTTTTGTGGGGCAGAAACCAAAAGCAAAGACAAATGACAAACTGGAAAAAGTATTTTTACCTCATATTCTAAACAAGGGTTAATTCCATCATATGTAAAGAACACCAACAGATTGATAAGAAAAAGACCACAACAGAAAAATGGGCAAAGAATATGAACAGAGAGTTCACAGAAGAGGAAATACAAATGACTGTTACACATTAAGAGCTTGATTTCATTTATAATAAAAGTATCAATTTAAACTTTCACTGAAATGTGAGTTTTTATTTTTCAGTATAGCAAAGAGCAAAAAGTTTAATAATTACTGCATGAGAGTAATTATTACAGTGAGAGCATGAGGAAATGGGCACTCTCATATGTTACTGATGAACTATAAACTGGGTCAAACCTTATGTAGAATAATTTAATTCTACCAAGGAAAATTACATGTGCACATATCATTTGACCCAGCAAATCAAATTCTAGAAATGTAGCCTATAGGTAAGTGATATACCTATATGTTTGTGTGTGTGCATGTGTGTGTATAATATATATGCATTTACATGTGCATGCATAAAATTCTCTAAAAGAATTCCCCAAAACCTATAACATTGCTTACCTCGGGTAAGGGTGAGGAGTGGATGGTGAGAGTAATACTTTTCACTATATATCCTTTTATATTTTGAGAATTTTGAACCTCATGAATTTTAAACCTATTCAAAAATACAAATTTACAAATGGAAATGAAAGGAAAAGGAAAGTACAAGTACATTAGAGGAATCATTTTTTAACCTCTCAGTTTTCTGATCTTTATTTTACAGAGAAAGAGGCATTATTGGAGACTTGACAGCAAATGTCTAACATTGTTTCAAAATGAATCTGGATCAAAATATTACAAGGTAAGTATTTCACATTTTAAAAAATATAGGCATTAAAATATTGTACACGTTCCAGATATATCCAAATAATATTTATTAATTGTTATATTTGATTATACCTATTATGACTCTATCTAATGTAGTTCATAGAAGTCACTGTTAGGTTTACTATTGAGGTAGCTGTTCCCCAACCCTCTATCTCACACCACCTCCATGCCCACAGCAGCCCTGCTACCAAAGATTGTTTTTTTGTTGGATGTTTCTTTGTTTTTGGCCTGCCTGTCGGGTTGCTGCCTCTTTCCTTCTGGTTACTATAATTTAGATTAGACTGCTTAGAAAGTCCCATGATAATGCCTGTCCAGAAGAGGCCAATGAGGTCCTCAGTCTTTCTCCCACCTTCCACTTTACCTTAGGCGCCAATTCCCACTTGCTTATTTTGGCCTTTCATCTCCTCTGTATAGTTGGCTTGCCCCATGCTTTGTTATGTCACAAACAAGGTTGTAAATGTAGCAATTAGGGGGCCGGCTGGTGGCGCACTGCTACAGTGCGCCGCTTGGGAAGTGCGGCGGCGCTCCCGCCGAGGGTTCGGATCCCACATACTGACCAGCCGCTCACTGGCTGAGCAAGGTGCAGG